TTGTGTGGACAGACCACAAGAACTTGGAATATCTCCGCACCGCCAAGCACCTCAATTCCAGGCAAGCTAGGTGGGCCCTGCTTTTCACCCGGTTCAACTTCTCCCTCTCATACCGACCAGGATCCAAGAATGTCAAGCCAGATGCGCTGTCACGCCACTATAGCCCCGCGGCTACACCCCCGGAATCCGAGACATTGGGGGGGGAGGGGGTACTGTCACACCCTGATCAGTTTCACCTGTCTTTGTGATTGGCTCCACCCCCCTCCAGGTGTCTCTCCCATTATCCCCAGTATATTTATACCTGTGTTCTCTGTTTGTCTGTTGCCAGTTCGTTTTGTTTCGTCAAGCATACCAGCGCTTTTCCCCTTGCTCTTGTCTTTCTCAAGTACCTGTTTTGACCATTTTGCCTGCCCTGACCCTGAGCCTGCCTGCCGTTCTGTACCTTGTCACACCAACCTGGATTATTGACCTCTGCCTGCCCTGACCCTGAGATTGCCTGCCGTTCTGTACCTTTTGGAATCTGATCTGGATTACGGCCCTCTGCCTGCCCTTGACCTGTTGTTTGCCTGCCCCCTGTTTTTGTAATAAACTTTTGTTACTTTGACACTGTCTGCATCTGGGTCTTCTCCTGAAATGTGATAGACGCATTAATCATGATATGAGTCGTGTCCAAAAGGGGAATTGCCAGTCCCCTGGGGCCCTGGCCCTTTGGTAATAAAGCTAATCAATTTTGTTCACATGCCTGCCTATAAAATAAGAAATATACAGTACCATATCATACCTTCTTTATTTCCTGCTCTTATGACTCATTTGGTTACAGATGTCCATGCAGTTTCCCACTGTGTACTGCTACCTACATATCTTTTGCATGTACACATATGCATCTATTGAATTCAGCAATTTAGCAGTCATGTTCTATGACACAGAACATACAGTAGTCCTACACCACAGCAGTCTGGAGAAAGACACCAGGTGATATAGACTTACATCCTGTTTTAATATATACACTACCAGTCAAACGTTTATGCACACCTATTCATTCAAGGGCTTTTCTTTATTTTTACTATTTTCTACATTTTAGAATAATAGCGAAGACATCAAAACTATGATATAACACATATAGAATCACGTAGTAACCAAAAAAGTATTCAAAATAAACAAATCAAAATATATTTTAGATTCTTCAAAGTAGCCACCCTTTGCCTTGAAGACAGCTTTGCACACGCTTGGCATTCTCTCAACCAGCTTCACCTGGAATGCTTTTCCAACAGCCTTGAAGGAGTTCCCACATACAGTGGGGAGAACAAGTATTTGATAAACTGCCGATTTTGCAGGTTTTCCTACTTACAAAGCATGTAGAGGTCTGTAATTTTTATCATATGTACACTTCAACTGTGAGAGACTGAAAAATCCAGAAAATCACATTGTATGATTTTTAAGTAATTAATTTGCATTTTATTGCATGACATAAGTATTTGATCACCTACCAACCAGTAAGAATTCCGGCTCTCACAGACCTGTTAGTTTTTCTTTAAGAAGCCCTCCTGTTCTCCACTCATTACCTGTATTAACTGCACCTGTTTGAACTCGTTACCTGTATAAAAGACACCTGTCCACACACTAAGTCAAACAGACTCCAACCTCTCCACAATGGCCAAGACCAGAGAGCTGTGTAAGGACATCAGGGATAAAATTGTAGACCTGCACAAGGCTGGGCTGGGCTACAGGACAATAGGCAAGCAGCTTGGTGAGAAGGCAACAACTGTTGGCGCAATTATTAGAAAATGGAAGAAGATCAAGATGACGGTCAATCACCATGCAAGATCTCACCTCGTGGGGCATCAATGATCATGAGGAAGGTGAGGGATCAGCCCCGAACTACACGGCAGGACCTGGTCAATGACCTGAAGAGAGCTGGGACCACAGTCTCAAAGAAAACCATTAGTAACACACTACGCCGTCATGGATTAAAATCCTGCAGCGCACGCAAGGTCCCCCTGCTCAAGCCAGAGCATGTCCAGGCCCGTCTGAAGTTTGCCAATGACCATCTGGATGATCCAGAGGAGGAATGGGAGAAGGTCATGTGGTCTGATGAGACAAAAATAGAGCTTTTTGGTCTAAACTCCACTCGCCGTGTTTGGAGGAAGAAGAAGGATGAGTACAACCCCAAGAACAACATCCCAACCGTGAAGCATGGAGATGGAAACATCATTCTTTGGGGATGCTTTTCTGCAAAGGGGACAGGACGACTGCACCGTATTGAGGGGAGGATGGATGGGGCCATGTATCGCGAGATCTTGGCCAACAAATACCTTCCCTCAGTAAGAGCATTGAAGATGGGTCGTGGCTGGGTCTTCCAGCATGACAACGACCCGAAACACACAGCCAGGGCAACTAAGGAGTGGCTCCGTAAGAAGCATCTCAAGGTCCTGGAGTGGCCTAGCCAGTCTCCAGACCTGAACCCAATAGAAAATATTTGGAGGGAGCTGAAAGTCCGTATTGCCCAGCGACAGCCCCAAAACCTGAAGGATCTGGAGAAGGTCTGTATGGAGGAGTGGGCCAAAATCCCTGCTGCAGTGTGTGCAAACCTGGTCAAGACCTACAGGAAACATATGATCTCTGTAATTGCAAACAAAGGTTTCTGTACCAAATATTAAGTTCTGCTTTTCTGAAGTATCAAATACTTATGTCATGCAATAAAATGCAAATGAATTACTTAAAAATCATACAATGTGATTTTCTGGATCTTTGTTTTAGATTCCGTCTCTCACAGTTGAAGTGTACCTATGATTAAAATTACAGACCGCTACATGCTTTGTAAGTAGGAAAACCTGCTAAATCGGCAGTGTATCAAATACTTGTTCTCCCCACTGTATGCTGAGCACCTGTTGGCTGTTTTTCCGTCACTCTGCGGTCCAACTCATCCCAAACCATCTGAATTGGGTTGAAGTAGGGTGATTGTGGAGGCCAGGTCATCTGATGCAGCACTCCATCACTCTCCTTCTTGGTCAAATAGCCCTACCAGATGGGATGGCGTATCGCTGTGGTAGACATGCTGGTTAAGTGTGCCTTGAATTCTAAATAAATCACTGACAGTGTCACCAGCAAAGCACCCCCCATATCATACCTCCTCCTCCACGCTTCACGGTGGGAACCACACATGCGGAGATCATCCGTTCACCTACTCTGCCTCTCACAAAGACACGGCGGTTGGAACCAAAAATCTAACATTTGGACTCATCAGACCAAAGGACAGATTTCCTCCGGTCTAATGTTCATTGCTCGTGTTTCTTGGCCCAAGCAAGTCTCTTCTTCTTATGGGTGTCCTTTAGTAGTGGTTTCTTTGCAGCAATTCGACCATGAAGTATTCTAAAATTAAATTGATCCTTTAATGATGCAAGAAGCAATGGTACATTTATTTAATACACTTTTTTGTTCATGGCTTACTAACACGCACACACACACACAGAGGGAAGGAACTCTTAGAGCAACATATATAAAAGTTGCTCAACCTCATTACATTTCGTTGGGAATCATTGATGGACAGCAATACTCAAACCTTGTCTCTGATTTTCAAGCAAAATGTCAGTCAGGACTGAGACTATACCACTCAAAAACACTAAACCGCTATTGGAAAGCCATTCTTGTGTGTCTTTGGTATTAAAAGTTAAACTGAAAAATAAAACGATCTCAGGGTTAGGTTTTCAGAAGACTGAAGTGGGGTTTCCTCTATCTTTTTACCTGGGCTTTGCTCCTTTCATATTTATTTTGATCATGACAAACTCCCCAGTCCATTCTGATGACAAGCATACCCATACCACAATTGAAAATAGTGTTTCACTCTGTGTTGTGTTATATTTGACCCAACCCTGTAGTTTTTAATTTAGGCGAAAAAATGTATTTATTTGCTATGTTGTCTTGCGGTATTACTTAACAGCCTTGTTGCAAACAGAATGGATGGTTTGGAGTGGATTTTTTAACACAGGCTTCTTTCTTTTCACTTTGTCATACAGTAATATGGAGCGAATGCAATGTTGTTGATCCCTTTGTATTTTCAGGTATTATTGTTCATGAGAGAAATGTGCAGTTATGCACATTTTTCAGTGGGGCAGGGAGAACATTTAGCAGTTGTTTTTTGGTTGCCAGGGGGGACGGGGGGAATTATGTCACTTATTCGCTGAGCTGGCACTGCACTAACCTAACCACCCACGGGAGGCTGAGAGTCAAACCATGACAATTTAATTGTTGGTGTCATTGGAGTTCAAGTAAACACACTGCTGTATACAGTTTTTGTTCTTCCTTTAAAAGGTATAAAAGGTCAGTGATGTGACAGTAGTTTTTGTGGAATAGCCCACTGACACAACATACAGTAGACCTATGTCTACACCACAGCAGTCTGAAGAAAGATACCAGGTGATATAGACTTACATACTGTTTTAAAATATATGTATATGTATGTATATATTTGTATTGGTGTTTTGATTATTTTTTCAGACAGTAAGAAAATCAAAGTGGGACACAGGCAAGTGGGAGAAACATGGACACAGGGATTGAACCCTGGTCTCTGGTGGGGAGATGTTTGTGATTTATGATGAGTGTTACCACACCACATCTCTGCACGACTCGCTTCCTGTTTGATTCTCACACTATGATTGGAGTGTTTGTAAGTGTAACAGTAGAGGAAAGACTGGTAAACTGAGTGTCAAAAATATGAAAATTATTGAACTACTCTAGGGATAAATTATTTTGCTGTATGGTCTACTCAATGTCCATTACAGCCACAGGTAACACTTTTTTTCCATGGTGATGCCTATGGAATCACTTTGAAGAGTAATACTGTTGCAATAATGAAAACAGTCTTGATAATTGATGGCAATTCTAAGAATGATGCAATTATGCGATGTCAATAAGAAATTGATAGTTTCACCTAATAGACACTGTTATCCTTGTCTTGTGAAGCAAATATATCTACAAATACTTCTATAGGTACTATTAGGAAAATGGAGAACTCAACGCAATTCACGTCATTTATACTAGCTGGATATAGTGATAGTGGACACTTAAAGTACTTGTATTTCATTTTAGTAACTGTGTTATACGTCTCCATAGTTTTTGCGAACACAGTGCTTATTGTGGTTATATGTATGGAGAGAAGCCTTCATGAACCCATGTATCTGTTTCTGTGCAGTTTGTTTGTGAATGAGTTGTATGGTAGCACTGCTTTGTTTCCTGCTCTTATGACTCATTTGGTTTCAGATGTCCATGCAGTTTCCACTGTGTACTGCTACCTACAGATCTTTTGCATGTACACATATGCATCTATTGAATTCAGCAATTTAGCAGTCATGTCCTATGACAGGTACCTTGCTATATGTTATCCACTACAGTATAACGTCATCATGACACCCAACAGGGTGTGTATTTTAATTTGTGTAATATGGTTGTACACTTTTGTAACAATTACCGCAGTACTGTCTTTAACTATTCGTTTGCAATTGTGTGGAAACGTTATAGACAAACTATATTGTGACAACTACCTGGTAGTGAAACTTGCCTGTTCAACTTCAGACACGACAGTTAATAACATCTATGGACTCTGTGTAATTGTGTTGAATGTCGTTGTCACTTTAATTACTATTATGTCCTCTTATATTAAAATTCTGACTATTTGTTTGAAGTCTTCCATCAACACCAGACAGAAAGCTTTCAGCACCTGTATTCCTCATCTGGCCTCAATGCTCAACTTCGCTTTCGGCTGTTTCTTAACTCTGCTCCAGAGTAGATTTGATAGGCCTATGAGAAATGTTCCAACTGTGCTTCACACTATTTTATCAGTGTACTTTCTGATGTGCCAGCCACTTTTTAATCCTATCGTGTATGGAATTAGGATGGCTAAAATCAGACAGGCTTTTAAAAACATACTACCTGTAGGTCTCTACCCTAAAAGATTAACCAAACATTAGAGTGACCTTTTCTGTCCTGATTGTTAGATTTTTGTATCGTTGACTTGTGTGTTTTGTTACTTATAGGCTAGTTGCAATAATGAATGGGGGTGAGGACGGCAGAAATAATTTGCTAATTTGTGAAATATTGTCATTTACCTTCTATTCACTTGCTGATCTCCATTGGTTCCATGTCTCTCAAAGAATTGACTTAAAATGATCCTTGTGTACAAAGCCCTAAATGGCATCAAATCCTCCTACCTATCAGACGTACTCTCCCCTATGAACCTCCACGCACCCTAAGTTCAAGCCACGCCAAACTGCTCCATGCACCCAGGACCTGGCTCCACAGAATGGAGGACTGTTTATTTTCCTCCCAAGCACCACATCTTTGGAACTCCCTTCCTGAAAATCTCAGGGCTCCTCAGACTGTTGGGGCTTTAAATCAGGCCTTAAGATGTATCTTTATCGGCTGGCCTTCCCTTCCTCCTTGACTTTGATTGGTTCATGATATGGTTATAAATCAATATTATTTTTTCAAAATGTTTTTAGTTCATCTTTTATTTTATGCACTTTGAGATCATTCTTGTAATGAAAAGCACTTTACAAATGTTGTATATTATTATTAGTAGTAGTAGTAGTAGTAGTAGTAGTAGTAGTTGTAGTAGTAGTAGTTGTAGTTAAATAAATAAAAACAAGAAGTTCATGACTTCCTCTTCATTACTTAAATTGACACTTCTGCCTTATCCAAGTATGTAACAAATCAAGACATACAAAACCGTCTTGATTGATTGACAACAGTGAATATACCAATGTAAATGTGTAAAAGATAAGGCCAACTTATAGCCGACATGGCACCATTACATCCATCACTAATGGAAAATGGGTCTGTACGGTACATACAGTACAAGCATGATGATTGTTTGACATTTTGAAAGAGAAATCTCGGGAAATACTGTAAAATGAAAACCAACAAAATTCGGTCATGAATCTGAATGCATGTCATGTTATCTGACGGCCAACTGTTTAATGTAACATGATATCTGTGTGCTAGCTAGCTGACAGATGGCCAGATACCTTTTTTGAGGTTAGGCGTCTTGTTTGTCCAGGGTCACTGTGAGATATGTTTGACCCATATAATCCAGTAAGGGTCAATGTATTCCATCCATCCTTTAAAGATAAAAGGGTGCCATTTCAACACTTAATAGCCATATTTTGTTACTGTTAGTATTCTCAGCTACACTTAACATTGAACTGTTCTTTTGCCTGTGTAATAAAACTGTAATTACTTTTGGAGCAACATTTTATTAGTATGTTACATAATACTTTGATAATTGCATTTTCATTGCATAGCAATGAGCTGAGTTTTTGTAACTCCTGTGAACAACAGGAATAGTGACTGTTCCTTATTCCAACTTATGTAATAACATTATTATGCAATTATAAACCATTTACAAAGTCCTAGGTAACAATGTTGCTATTGTAATAATCAAAGTTACTACACATGTATAAGAACATGATGTAAAGTGTTACTGTATTACCTTATGTCTCTCATTATGAAAATACACTGATTCTACAAAACATTAAGAACACCTTCCTAATATTGAGTTGCAAATATATGTTTTTGTTCAGTGTAGTTGTAGTCACCTCCAAAGTAACTATTTGTTCCCCCAAAAAATACACAGATTTTTTAAATTTATTCAACATGCAACAATTTGACTGAGTTACAGTCCATATAAGGAAATCAGTCAATTGAAATAAATTCATTAGGCCCTAATCTATGGAGTTCACATGACTGGGAATACGAATATACAGTGGGGAGAACAAGTATTTGATACACTGCCGATTTTGCAGGTTTTCCTACTTACAAAGCATGTAGAGGTCTGTAATTTTTATCATAGGTACACTTCAACTGTGAGAGATGGAATCTAAAACAAAAATCCATAAAATCACATTGTATGATTTTTAAGTAATAATTTGCATTTTATTGCATGACATAAGTATTTGATCACCTACCAACCATTAAGAATTCCGGCTCTCACAGACCTGTTCGTTTTTCTTTAAGAAGCCCTCCTGTTCTCCACTCAGTACCTGTATTAACTGCACCTGTTTGAACTCGTTACCTGTATAAAAGACACCTGTCCACACACTCAATCAAACAGACTCCAACCTCTCCACAATGGCCAAGACCAGAGAGCTGTGTAAGGACATCAGGGATAAAATTGTAGACCTGCACAAGGCTGGGATGGGCTACAGGACAATAGGCAAGCAGCTTGGTGAGAAGGCAACAACTGTTGGTGCAATTATTAGAAAATGGAAGAAGTTCAAGATGACGGTCAATCACCCTCGGACTGGGGCTCCATGCAAGATCTCAACTCGTGGGGCATCAATGATCATGAGGAAGGTGAGGGATCAGCCCAGAACTACACAGCAGGACCTGGTCAATGACCTGAAGAGAGCTGGGACCACAGTCTCAAAGAAAACCATTAGTAACACACTACGCCGTCATGGATTAAAATCCTGCAGCGCACGCAAGGTCCCTCTGCTCAAGCCAGCGCATGTCCAGGCCCGTCTGAAGTTTGCCAATGACCATCTGGATGATCCAGAGGAGGAATGGGAGAAGGTCATGTGGTCTGATGAGACAAAAATAGAGCTTTGGGAATGGGAATACGAATATACATCTGTTGGTCACAGATTCCTTTAAAAAAATGGTATGGGCATGGATCAGAACCAGTCAGTATCTGGTGTGACCACCATTTGCCTCATGCAGCGCGTCATATCTCCTTCACATAGAGTTCATCAGGCTGTTGATTAGTACCTGTGGAATGTGGCCCACTCCTCTTCAATGGCTGTGTGAAGTTTCTGGAAATTGGCGGGAACTGGAACACGCTCTTGTACACGTTGATCCAGAGTATCCCAAACATGCTCAGTGGGTGACATGTCTGGTGAGTATGCAGGCCATGGAAGAACTGGGACATTTTCAGCTTCCAGGAATTGTGTACAGATCCTTGCGACATGGGGCCGTGCATTATCACGCTGAAACTTTAGATGATGGCGGCGGATGAATGGCACGACAATAGGCCTCAGGCTCTTGTCACGGTATCTTTGTGCATTAAAATTGCCATAGATAAAATGCAATTTTAATTGCCTGTAGCTTATGCCTGCCCATACCATAACCCCACTGCCACCATTGGGCGCTCTGTTCACAACGTTGACATCAGCAAACCGCTCGCCCAGACGCCAGAGCGTCGCTCGCCATCTGCCCGGTACTGGATTAATCTGTGAAGAGCACACTTCTCCAGCGTGCCAGTGGCCATCGAAGGTGAGCATTTGCCCACTGAAGTCGGTTACTACACTGAACTGCAGTCAGGTCAAGACCCTGGTGAGGACGACGAGCACGCAGATGAGCTTCCCTGAGACAGTTTCTGACAGTGTGTGCAGAAATTCTGCAAACCAGTGGAGGCTGCTGAGGGGAGAATGGCTCATAATAATGGCTGGAATGGAGTAAATGGAATGGTATCAAACACATCATGTGTTTGATACCGTTCCATTCACTCCATTATATTTAATTCCAGTTTCATCAGCTGTCCGGGTGGCTGGTCTCAGACAATCCTGCAGGTGAAGAAGCCGGATGTGGAGGTAAAGAAATGAACATTAAATTCTCTGGCAACAGCTTTGGTGGATATTCCTGCAGTCAGCATGACAATTGCACGCTCCCTTAAAATTTGAGACATCTGTGGAATTGTGTTATGTGACAAAACTGCACATTTCAGAGTGGCCTTTTATTGTCCCCAGCATAAGGTGCACCTGTGAATGATTGTGCTGTTTAATCAGCTTCTTGATATGCCACACCTGTTAGGTGGATGGATTATCTTGGCAAAGGAGAAATGCTCACTAACAGGGATGTAAACAAATTTGTGCACACAGTTTGATAGAAATAAGCATTTTGTGCGTATGGAACATTTCTGGGAACTTTTATTTCAGTTCATGAAACATGGGACCAACACTTTATATGTTGCATTTATATTCTTGTTCAGTATACATAGACTGAAAAAAACCTGCAATACCACAGCTATCCCTTGGTGGTGCAGATGTTTCATTATCTGGCTGCAGTTCTGAAAAGTTAAGTGTGCCTTGAATTCTAAATAAATCACTGACAGTGTCACCAGCAAAGCACCCCCATATCATACCTCCTCCTCCACGCTTCACGGTGGGAACCACACATGCGGAGATCATCCGTTCACCTACTCTGCCTCTCACAAAGACACGGCGGTTGGAACCAAAAATCTAACATTTGGACTCATCAGACCAAAGGACAGATTTCCTCCGGTCTAATGTTCATTGCTCGTGTTTCTTGGCCCAAGCAAGTCTCTTCTTCTTATGGGTGTCCTTTAGTAGTGGTTTCTTTGCAGCAATTCGACCATGAAGTATTCTAAAATTAAATTGATCCTTTAATGATGCAAGAAGCAATGGTACATTTATTTAATAAACATTTTTTTTCATGGCTTACTAACACGCACACACACACACACACACAGAGGGAAGGAACTCTTAGAGCAACATATATAAAAGTTGCTCAACCTCATTACATTTCGTTGGGAATCATTGATGGACAGCAATACTCAAACCTTGTCTCTGATTTTCAAGCAAAATGTCAGTCAGGACTGAGACTATACCACTCAGGAACACTAAACCGCTATTGGAAAGCCATTCTTGTGTGTCTTTGGTATTAAAAGTTAAACTGAAAAATAAAACGATCTCAGGGTTAGGTTTTCAGAAGACTGAAGTGGGGTTTCCTCTATCTTTTTACCTGGGCTTTGCTCCTTTCATATTTATTTTGATCATGACAAACTCCCCAGTCCATTCTGATGACAAGCATACCCATACCACAATTGAAAATAGTGTTTTACTCTGTGTTGTGTTATATTTGACCCAACCCTGTAGTTTTTAATTTAGGCGAAAACATTTATGTATTTGCTATGTTGTCTTGCGGTATTACTTAACAGCCTTGTTGCAAACAGAATGGATGGTTTGGAGTGGATTTTTTAACACAGGCTTCTTTCTTTTCACTTTGTCATACAGTAATATAGAGTGAATGCAATGTTGTTGATCCCTTTGTATTTTCAGGTATTATTGTTCATGAGAGAAATGTGCAGTTATGCACATTTTGCAGTGGGGCAGGGAGAACATTTAGCAGTTGTTTTTTGGTTGCCAGGGGGGACGGGGGGAATTATGTCACTTATTGGCTGAGCTGGCACTGCACTAACCTAAACACCCACGGGAGGCTGAGAGTCAAACCATGACAATTTAATTGTTGGTGTCATTGGAGTTCAAGTAAACACACTGCTGTATACAGGTTTTGTTCTTCCTTTAAAAGGTATAAAAGGTCAGTGATGTGACAGTAGTTTCTGTGGAATAGCCCACTGACACAACATACAGTAGACCTGTCTACACCACAGCAGTGTGAAGAAAGATACCAGGTGATATAGACTTACATACTGTTTTAAAATATATGTATATGTATGTATATATTTGTATTGGTGTTTTGATTATTTTTTCAGACAGTAAGAAAATCAAAGTGGGACACAGGCAAGTGGGAGAAACATGGACACAGGGATTGAACCCTGGTCTCTGGTGGGGAGATGTTTGTGATTTATGATGAGTGTTACCACACCACATCTCTGCACGACTCGCTTCCTGTTTGATTCTCACACTATGATTGGAGTGTTTGTAAGTGTAACAGTAGAGGAAAGACTGGTAAACTGAGTGTCAAAAATTGAACTACTCTAGCGATAAATTATTTTGCTGTATGGTCTACTCAATGTCCATTACAGCCACAGGTAACACTTTTTTTCCATGGTGATGCCTATGGAATCACTTTGAAGACTAATACTGTTGCAATAATGAAAACAGTCTTGATAATTGATGGCAATTCTAAGAATGATGCAATTATGCGATGTCAATAAGAAATTGATAGTTTCACCTAATAGACACTGTTATCCTTGTCTTGTGGAGCAAATATATCTACAAATACTTCTATAGGTACTATTAGGAAAATGGAGAACTCAACGCAATTCACGTCATTTATACTAGCTGGATATAGTGATAGTGGACACTTAAAGTACTTGTATTTCATTTTAGTAACTGTGTTATACGTCTCCATAGTTTTTGCGAACACAGTGCTTATTGTGGTTATATGTATGGAGAGAAGCCTTCATGAACCCATGTATCTGTTTCTGTGCAGTTTGTTTGTGAATGAGTTGTATGGTAGCACTTCTTTGTTTCCTGCTCTTATGACTAATTTGGTTACAGATGTCCATGCAGTTTCCACTGTGTACTGCTACCTACAGATCTTTTGCATGTACACATATATATCTATTGAATTCAGCAATTTAGCAGTCATGTCCTATGACAGGTACCTTGCTATATGTTATCCACTACAGTATAATGTCATCATGACACCCAACAGGGTGTGTATTTTAGTTTGTGTAATATGGTTGTACCCTTTTGTAACAATTACCACAGCACTGTCTTTAACTATTCGTTTGCAATTGTGTGGAAACGTTATAGACAAAGTATATTGTGACAACTACCTGGTAGTGAAACTTGCCTGTTCAACTTCAGACACGACAGTTAATAACATCTATGGACTCTGTGTAATTGTGTTGAGTGTCGTTGTCACTTTATTTACTATTATGTCCTCTTATATTAAAATTCTGACTATTTGTTTGAAATATTCCATCAACGCCAGACAGAAAGCTTTCAGCACCTGTATTCCTCATCTGGCCTCAATGCTCAACTTCACTTTCGGCTGTTTCTTAACTCTGCTCCAGAGTAGATTTGATAGGCCTATGAGAAATGTTCCAACTGTGCTTCACACTATTTTATCAGTGTACTTTCTGATGTGCCAGCCACTTTTTAATCCTATCATGTATGGAGTTAGGATGGCTAAAATCAGACAGGCTTTTAAAAACATACTACCTGTAGGTCTCTACCCTAAAAGATTAACCAAACATTAGTGTGACCTTTTCTGTCCTGATTGTTAGATTTTTGTATTGTTGACTTGTGTGTTTTGTTACTTATAGGCTAGTTGCAATAATGAATGGGGGTGAGGACGGCAGAAATCATTTGCTAATTTGTGAAATATTGTCATTTACCTTCTATTCACTTGCTGATCTCCATTGGTTCCATGTCTCTCAAAGAATTGACTTAAAATGATCCTTGTGTACAAAGACCTAAATGGCATCAAACCCTCCTACCTATCAGACGTACTCTCCCCTATGAACCTCCACGCACCCTAAGTTCAAGCCACGCCAAACTGCTCCATGCACCCAGGACCTGGCTCCACAGAATGGAGGACTGTTTATTTTCCTCCCAAGCACCACATCTTTGGAACTCCCTTCCTGACAATCTCAGGGCTCCTCAGACTGTTGGGGCTTTAAATCAGGCCTTAAGATGTATCTTTATCGGCTGGCCTTCCCTTCCTCCTTGACTTTGATTGGTTCATGATATGGTTATAAATCAATATTATTTTTTCAAAATGTTTTTAGTTCATCTTTTATTCTATGCACTTTGAGATCATTCTTGTAATGAAAAGCACTTTACAAATGTTGTATATTATTATTATTAGTAGTAGTAGTAGTAGTAGTAGTTGTAGTTAAATAAATAAAAACAAGAAGTTCATGACTTCCTCTTCATTACTTAAATTGACACTTCTGCCTTATCCAAGTATCTAACAAATCAAGACATACAAAACCGTCTGGATTGATTGACAACAGTGAATAAATGTGATGTAAATGTGTAAAAGATAAGGCCAACTTATAGCCGACATGGCACCATTACATCCATCACTAATGGAAAATGGGCCTGTACGGTACATACAGTACAAGCATGATGATTGTTTGACATTTTGAAAGATACATCTCGGGAAATACTGTAAAATGAAAACAAACAAATTCGGTCATAAATCTGAATGCATGTCATGTTATCTGACGGCCAACTGTTTAATGTAACATGATATCTGTGTGCTAGCTAGCTGACAGATGGCCAGATACCTTTTTTGAGGTAAGGCATCTTGTTTGTCCAGGGTCACTGTGAGATATGTTTGACCCAAATAATCCAGTAAGGGTCAATGTATTCCATCCATCCTTTAAAGATAAAAGGGTGCCATTTCAACACTTAATAGCCATATTTTGTTACTGTTAGTATTCTCAGCTACACTTAACATTGAACTGTTCTTTTGCCTGTGTAATAAAACTGTAATTATTTTTGGAGCAACATTTTATTAGTATGTTGTTACATAATACTTTGATAATTGCATTTTCATTGCATAGCAATGAGCTGAGTTTTTGTAACTCCTGTGAACAACAGGAATAGTGACTGTTCCTTATTCCAACTTATGTAATAACATTATTATGCAATTATAAACCAATTTACAAAGTCCTAGGTAACAATGTTGCTATTGTAATAATCAAAGTTACTACACATGTATAAGAACATGATGTAAAGTGTTACTGTATTACCTTATGTCTCTCATTATGAAAATACACTGATTCTACAAAACATTAACACCTTCCTAATATTGAGTTGCAAATATATGTTTTTGTTCAGTGTAGTTGTAGTCACCTCCCAAAGTAACTATTTGTTCCCCCCAAAAATACACTTTTTTTTTTTATTTATTCAACATGCAACAATTTGACTGAGTTACAGTCCATATAAGGAAATCAGTCAATTGAAATAAATTCATTAGACCCTAATCTATGGAGTTCACATGACTGGGAATACGAATATACATCTGTTGGTCACAGATTCCTTTAAAAAAAATGGTATGGGCATGGATCAGAACCAGTCAGTATCTGGTGTGACCACCATTTGCCTCATGCAGAGTGTCATATCTCCTTCACATAGAGTTCATCAGGCTGTTGATTAGTACCTGTGGAATGTGGCCCACTCCTCTTCAATGGCTGTGTGAAGTTTCTCGAAATTGGCGGGAACTGGAACACACTCTTGTACACGTTGATCCAGAGTATCCCAAACATGCTCAGTGGGTGACATGTCTGGTGAGTGTGCAGGCCATGGAAGAACTGGGACATTTTCAGCTTCCAGGAATTGTGTACAGATCCTTGCGACATGGGGCCGTGCATTATCACGCTGAAACATTAGATGATGGCGGCGGATGAATGGCACGACAATAGGCCTCAGGCTCTTGTCACGGTATCTTTGTGCATTAAAATTGCCATAGATAAAATGTAATTTTAATTGCCTGTAACTTATGCCTGCCCATACCATAACCCCACTGCAACCATTGGGAGCTCTGTTCACAACGTTGACATCAGCAAACCGCTCGCCCAGACGCCAGAGCGTCGCTCGCCATCTGCCCGGTACAGGATTAATCTGTGAAGAGCACACTTCTCCAGCGTGCCAGTGGCCATCGAAGGTGAGCATTTGCCCACTGAAGTCGGTTACTACACTGAACTGCAGTCAGGTCAAGACCCTGGTGAGGACGACGAGCACGCAGATGAGCTTCCCTGAGACAGTTTCTGACAGTGTGTGCAGAAATTCTGCAAACCAGTGGAGGCTGCTGAGGGGAGAATGGCTCATAATAATGGCTGGAATGGAGTAAATGGAATGGTATCAAACACATCATGTGTTTGATACCGTTCCATTCACTCCATTATATTTAATTCCAGTTTCATCAGCTGTCCGGGTGGCAGGTCTCAGACGATCCCGCAGGTGAAGAAGCCGGATGTGGAGGTCCTGGGCTGGCGTGGTTACACGTGGTCTGCAGTTGTTAGGCTGGTTGGACGTGCTGCCAAATTCTCTAAAACGACATTGGAGGCGGCTTATGGTAAAGAAATGAACATTCAATTCTCTGGCAACAGCTTTGGTGGATATTCCTGCAGTCAGCATGAAAATTGCACGCTCCCTTAAAACTTGAGACATCTGTGGCATTGTGTTATGTGACAAAACTGCACATTTTAGAGTGGCCTTTTATTGTCCCCAGCATCGGGTGCACCTGTGAATGATCGTGCTGTTTAATCAGCTTCTTGATATGCCACACCTGTTAGCTGTATGGATTATATTGGCAAAGGAGAAATGCTCACTAACAGGGATGTAAACAAATTTGTGCACACAGTTTGATAGAAATAAGCGTTTTGTGCGTATGGAACATTTCTGGGATCTTTTATTTCAGCTCATGAAACATGGGACCAACACTTTATATGTTGCATTTATATTCTTGTTCAGTATAAAGTGCTGTGAAAAAGTATTTGCCCCCTTTCTAATTTTCTCTACTTTTGCATATTTGGGATACTGAATGTTATCAGATCTTCAACCAAAACCTAATATTATATAAAGGGAACATAAGTGAACAAATAACACAACAATTACACATTTATTTCATTTATTTCATAAACAAAGTTATGCAACACCCAATTCCCCTGTGTGAAAAAGTAATTGCCCCCTTACACTCAATAACTGGTTGTGCCACCTTTAGCACAGTTTTGGAATGGCCTAGTCAAAGTCCAGACCTAATCCCAATTGAGATGTTGTGGTAGGATTTGAAACGAGCAGTTCATTGAGTGTAAGTGGGCAATTGTTGTGGGTAATTGTTGTGTTATTTGTTCATTTATGTTCCCTTTTTCTAATATTAGGTTTTGGTTGAAGATCTGATAACATTCAGTATCACAGATATGCAAAAGTGGAGAAAATTAGAAAGGGGGCAAATAATTTTTCACAGCACTGTACATAGACTGAAAAAACCCTGCAATACCACAGCTATCCCTTGGTGGCGCAGAGGTTTCATTATCTGGCTGCAGATCTGAAAAGTTAAGTGTGGCTTGAATTCTAAATAAATCACTGACAGTGTCACCAGCAAAGCACCCCCATATCATACCTCCTCCTCCACGCTTCACAGTGGGAACCACACATGCAGAGATCATCCATTCACCTACTCTGCCTCTCACAAAGACACGGCGGTTGGAACCAAAAATCTCAAATTTGGACTCATCAGACCAAAGGACAGATTTCCTCCGGTCTAATGTTCATTGCTCGTGTTTCTTGGCCCAAGCAAGTCTCTTCTTCTTATGGGTGTCCTTTAGTAGTGGTTTCTTTGCAGCAATTCGACCATGAAGTATTCTAAAATTAAATTGATCCTTTAATGATGCAAGAAGCAATGGTACATTTATTCAATAAACGTTTTTGTTCATGGCTTACTAACACGCACGCGCACACACACACACAGAGGGAAGGAACTCTTAGAGCAACATATATAAAAGTTGCTCAACCTCATTACATTTAGTTGGGAATCATTGATGGACAGCAATACTGTCACGATCGTTGACTGATGATGAGACGGACCAAGGCGCAGCATGATAAGCGTACATTTTTATTAAGTACACACACGAACCAAAACAACAAACAAACGATACGTGAAGTCCTAGGTTACAACACAAACCTTAATGGAACAAGATCCCACAACCTAACATGCCAAAAGGCTGCCTAAGTATGGTCCCCAATCAGAGACAACGAGCTACAGCTGCCTCTGATTGGGAACCACCCTGGCCAACATAGATCTACACGATCTAGAAAACACAACATAGAAAATATAACAAAGAAAATCCACACCCTGGCTCAACATTTAAGAGTCCCCAGAGCCAGGGCGTGACAGTACCCCCCCCCCAAAGGCGCGGACTGCGACCGCGCCAACCAAACACAACAGGGTAGGGGCCAGGTGGGCATTCCGCCTCGGAGGCGGATCCGGCTCCGGGCGTGACCACCATTCTCTCTCCACCCCCCCATTGCGCCCCTGGTCTGGTCCCGCTGGCCGGAGCTGGACTGGACACCGGTGGAGCGGATTGCTCTGGCTCCGGAGTGGATCCGCTGACTGGAGTTGGACCGGACCCCGGTGGAGCGGATTGGTCTGGCTCCGGAGTGGAGCAGCTGACGGGCCGTGCCGGACTGACGACGCGCACCAATGGCTTGATGCGGGGAGCAGAAACGGGCCGGACCGGTCTGACGA